AAAATGATCCAAAAACATCAAATACTATAGATTCATTGTGGCACATTTTTTTTTTTTGTGTAAAACCGTTTTGAAGGGTAATTATTGTCTTCAGATAACTAGTATAAATTTTAGTAACTGAGAAACTATCAGTTTAAATTTTGAATTAGTACATCAACATTTCAATAAAATTATCCACTAAATAATATACAATATAACGAGAGAGGGGGATGGAATTCTCATTTAAAAACAAACACTTGTAACGCAACAGGATACTTCTAAAGGGGCGCAAAAAAATTATTCTTTGTGAACATTTAAAAATTTTGAAAATCAGAATTTTGATAACTTCATTAAYAGAAAAAATTGAGGTGATCATGCTTACAGCTAGGTGAATCACCTTGTATGTTATATCGTATTTTACGATTACAACAGTTACTCTTGAAGAAAGCGAATATCAATAGAACGTTAATATTATTATATATTTTGTAACATGAAAGTATTATGTGTTGCATGTCGTCTGAGGATAACTGTAAAAAAAACAAAGAGTATCTCACAACTGGTTTCATACATTTTATCTACTGGCACAACGACGGTATATTATTATGGTGACTGGTCACTCGTTGTGAATTTATTACGCTATAGTGACTAACTGACTAATAGGTATTACGCCGCGGTCGCTCCATATGGCAAAAAAAAAATGATTCATACTTTTCATCCGTACAACTGAATTATTGTTTTAGATATTGGTATATGTATCGTYGGTATCGACTTATTGTAACATACCTTTTAACACTGCTTCTGAGTAATAAATACGGTCCAGGAAAATGCGAGTTATAGTCGTTGATGATATAATATTATTATACAATAGGTATTTTCTTCTTCTTCTGTGCCTTCACAACTCTGTAAGAGTTTTAATACAATAGGTATTACACGTTATAATAACTAAAGCTAGGATTTATATGAGTTATGTTATTTTGCATCGTCCTTTTAAAAATTTGATCAATAATATCCACGAATCTCCACATGCATATTGATCCACGTGATATATTTTATATTTTGAACATTTTTCAAATTTCTCATATTTCAAATATATATATATATATATAGACATTAGTATTATCATTGACTATAAAATAATATATATTACACAAATATATAATATAATATTTATTTATTCTATAATCAATGGTATTATTTATATATACTTATAAGTAAAAGTAATAACAATGACTTAGCTTATTGCTTATAGAATATAGATATACATAAAAAGTAACTTTATTCGATTTGTTTTTAAATGATTAAAAGATGCTTTTTCCATAAGAATTTTTTACTTAATGATGGTCAGTGCATGGTTAGTGATTAATTTGTCGTATATTTTTAGATTCTGAGCGGAGCGATGAATGTATTGATTTTACCATGATGTGTGTTTTTTTTTTTT